TGCGCACAGAATGTTATATCCCATAACAAGCATGATAACACCCGGGGATAACTTTTAGCCTCAATACAGTGAAAATAAATAGCTGAACAGTCTTATTTATTTTTACTGGGTGATGATTGGAGGTGAGATGAAAATCTGGACCGCGGTCGGATTTTCATCTCACCTTCAATCATCACCCAGTATAAATACTAGTCTGCCAAACTACGACTATCTTATATAGGCAAATAATTATTTATTTTTGTTATTGCTTGTAATCTACCAATAGAAACTGATCGATTCGATCCAATCAACGACGGGTAATTACAAGCAATGACATAAAACTACACCCGTCATACAGGGGGTCACTATCCTGACTCAGAGACCTAGTGGATAACTCTTTGTTGTTTTAGGCGACTGGTCCTGGATTTGAGTCTCAACGGGAACAACATCACTTACTGGGAGGCAGGTACATCCAGCTGACGGCTCCCAAATATGATGTATTGCAAGTTCTGGACCCCAATGTTAGCCATCACCAAGTAAGCAACATTTAAGTCTAATTTATTATCAACTAAGAAATAAAAACCACACAAATAACGCCAATAAGATATTGCAATATAGTCCGCATTATTTATTCTTTTCATCACGGTGTGAATAATAAATTATGTTGTACATACAATCAGTAGATTGAGAGCAGTTGCGAGCATCACTTTATGAATATAATAGCTGAAAAGGGGTTCATACTGATTAAAAATATGAATTCTTTATGAAAGTGTTTGAAGTAGGTAAAACCTAAGCCAGATACATACAAACGTGAGGTACTCATATCAACCCGGAACATTTTATTCCTTATGTCACTAACATCCCTTCGTACATTTTAATATCTATCAAATTTCGTACTGCTTCTTTGTGTAGACAGTGGTATCTTCACCTTATGCTGTTTTATCTGCGGTTCTGCATAAACCGACTTAACTGAAAAGTAACTTCTTGTCAGCTCATGACAACTGCCATGATAAATTCCTGTGTGCTCTTAAAAATTTATAGACACCCACTGTATGTTTTCGGATGTGTTCATCTTCATGAAAGAATTTTACTCTAGCTTTCTGCTTAGCTACTAGTTCCAAGCCGAACCTCGTCTGCTTGAAAGTCATTATCCCGAACCTGAGGGATTGATCCTGTCGCCGAGCAGGACTTATCATAACAAAGCATCCTCATTAAAACGAACATCACTATAGAGCACTTCGTTAATGCCCCTTCGAAATTGATCAGTGTTATTCTGGAACCCTCCCAACTGTCGGGCTTCAACATATCCACATTCCAAGTTGGTATACATCAAGGACTGACTTCAGTTGGAGGAACATTGGGATCCTGGGAGCACTGGACAGCATCGAGGACAAATATTCAACGATGACAATGGGGGATGAATGAAGTTGGAAACATGGACCATTAGATTCAGACCCAGTGGCTCAATGGTAACGCGCTGGCCATGGAAGCTGAAGGTCCTGTGTTCGATTTCTTGTGGGGTCATGAGTGAGCACTCCTGAGGAGTCCCATACAGCGAAACAGCTGTCCAGTGCTCCCATGTTTTCAATGTTCCTCCAACTGATGTCAGTCCATGAAGAATACCAACTTGAAAAAAAAATCACTAAATCCCCAAAAACCCACAAATTCAATATCCAAATTCACCGGGTAGTCGGATCGTTTGACCGTACTCGCCCAACCACCAGAAGGTATGCGTAGGATACGTATGATTCAGTCACTGCAATCTTGCAGAAAAGATCCAGCTCATCTCTCCGGAAGACTATCCCCGTCTCAGCATATCAATACCACCTCAGAGACTCCTTCTAAGCTACTTACTTAACCCAGGGTAGGGCGAAAGACACCCGGCATGATGTAATTGGTAATGGATCAAAGGAAGCTGTAACATAATAATGCATGGAAACGTGCAATAAACTGAATTATATATGTATAAAAAGACAATACATACACTTATTTCGAAGAAGAAGAAGAAATGATGAAACTGCAAAGAAATAAGCACGAAGTGCTTGTACTTTAAAGCATTTTGTCCGTTGTTTCTGTGACTACGAATAGGAAGAGAGGGAGATATTAGGGAACCCTGTTCTAGTGAATCTCATTACCATCCTGAAGAATTAACAATATGATATCTGAAACATAATCAGTTTACACAAATCTTAGAAGTGTATACGGATAAAGTCTTTGGAAATTGTTGAAACCCATCATATTATACTTCAAATTGCTAACAGTTTACATCGGTAAATGTGATATAACTTTTAAAATTTCTAAGATGCAAGCTTCTACATCACTAGGACATAACGCGATGGCATAACAAAATAATTTAATTCACTAACCAAGTAAAACATATTTGTACCCTGATCTATGAAATACACAGTGCGTAATACATTAGGATACCAAAGTAGATTAAGTGTGAACTTCAGAAAGGGGGAAAAAGAGTGAAACTTTATAAAATTTAAGCATAAAACCTTCATTTTTCGGATACTGCATCCCAACACAGTGTAGCGGCAAATAATTCACCAGGATCGAAAACTTAGGGTTGAGTGGGATTCAACATTAATATTAACATTCACAGTTTTAACGGACACACAATCAAGCGTCCATACTATTTGGCACGTTGTCAGGTTACGTTACATTGTACGTTTGCGATCTTATAGCCAGTTAGTTGAAACACACTGGTATTTTGCGACAGTCTGTCGAATACATTAATCCTATCTGACTATCCCATTACATTCTTTCTTAGTCTCGCACTTTTGGGTATTGTACAAATACGAACAATTAGTGATCGGCCACTGCGTTTGTCAAGTTCCCACAAGGACAAACCCCAAAATTGTATAGCTTTATGTTTCACTGAAGGCTTTGTGATTTAAAACATTCCAACCTGCTTACTTTGCAGGATGGAGTAACATCATAAATCATAGTGCAATATTAGATTAGCAATAAGACTATCAAGATTTTCATAAGAAGCCTGGTCCCTGGAGCCTTTCCAAACCAATCATGTTGCTTCGAAGTTTTGAGAAACAGCACGTGAACCAGAGTGTAAATACCAGATTGGTTGCGAAGGCAGAAAACAATAGGAACTACCATTCTGGAAGGGCCCAGAAATATTCAAGGCCACTGTAAAAATATATGAACCGTTGTATTTTGTACATATCTGTTGTTTTACTGCCTTCATTATTTATCGAAGAAGTGAGCAACCATCAAGGGTGCAATCTGAAGGTTATATATATATATATATATATATATATATATATATATATATATATATATACCAGTCTCTTTAATAATTCGTTAAGAATACGTAAATGACTCAGTACTATACTAAATCAAACGAAGACAGATTTGTTTTTTTCCTGATGAAACAATTGAGAATCCATTAAAAAGGATTGATAATTCTTATACGTCTACAATCATTCCGGAATAAGCATATATTCTACTAAGCAAATATCAAAATTAATGTTAACTGAAGAGAGTGCACCACCACGTGAAATCAAAAGCCGTTATTATTAAAACTTGTCTTAAAAAATTAACTTTCATTCAGGCTTATGCAACTTTGTACAGCATCATCTTAAATTCAAGAGTGATTTGTATGAATCTTTTTATCCCATCTGAAATAGCATTCTAAGGGTAAATTGTAATGTAATCCTAGAGTTTTAAGGTTGCATTATCCCGTGGTTGATTACACAGAATTGGTCTATCTCTGCTAGCCTATAGGCTCATGCGTGGATGCCTCGATATTATGTGTGGTTCAATTTTATAATAATAATGGATGGTGGTTAGGAGTAGAATGAATGAAGCAAGTTTCATCCTATTTGGGGCTCATCAACTGGGAGGCAGATACCTCCAGCCAATAAGTCACAAACAGGATGAAACATGCGTCCTGGATTCCACCTTACCAACTATCCATGATTATTACATGATCCTAAAATGTTCGAAAAGTCAAAACAAAACATTTCTAAACGTTTCGCTGTGTAAACCTAAGCTTCTTCTGCAGAATATGCGGGAGAAGCTGTGGTTTACACATAGAAAGGTTCAGAGATATCTTGTTTTGATTTTCTTCCAAATACTCTGGGATTATATTAAAATATATTCTTATAATGATTAAATCAGATACGGCGCTCAACTTCATACAGTACATTAGTAACAACTATCGTCTAGATGTTTACAGTCTAGACGAAAATTGTCTGAAAGGTGAACAAGCCTCATTTCCAGTTGTTTCGTTATCATAAAGAAAGGAATATCTTAAAAACGCTTTAACAAAGAAACATATTGTGAAACACATTAATTTAGAGTCTTTACTTCTACTGATTTATAAAGTTTCTACAGTACATAGTAGAAGACTGTGATAATATGTGAAGTGAATTCAATCACACAAAAACAAGAAGTTTATTCAACTTGATTTTTATGAGTACTAAATAATTTATGATTCTTACCAGTGAAATGATCAGCTGCATACCTGACAACAACAAAATTCATCTATGAGATGAAAGTGAAAGACTATATAATTTTAAGTTTAGAATAGTGTAAATGTATTGCTTCAGTTCAATAATATGTAAGCTTTACATTCATTCTATAAACAATGGCGTTTCAGACGACTGGCAAGCTTATTTTTCATGAAACTGTAAAGTGATTCTCAAACGAAGAATTTGCCTTCAATCCTCAGTTGTTTCAAGTTTACAACTCAAAAAAAAATCATTGCTAAAAAAGTCCTAATATTTGTATGAAATTAAATTACATCTGTAAATTATTGTGTATCGAAGTGGAAAGAGGAACACTGTTTCCATGATAAGATCTATTTCTTAATTGCATTCTCAGGTCAACTTAAGACTGTACACTTACTGGCAATCTAAAATATACAAAAACTTTCAAGTTTTTAACGTGGTGATAAACCACATTTCCTAAGGTTATACTCAAAAGGCATCAAAAATCAGTTAATCAAACAAAAGACACAAGTTCTATATGAGCATGATATCAGTTCTATAAAAACTTACAGATAACTTCATTGGAATGGAAGGCACAAGTAGGAAGTGTTGAGGTTGAAGAATTAGAATATCCATTACTACGTTCTAAGACTAGTGAGGATGATGAAGATAATGATGATTCTGGGGGTATATAATTCATACCATTAGCCCAGTCAATTTGAGATGAATAAAAGCAAATGAAATATGCAATATCTGAAAATATAAAACTCAGACTATTTAACTGGTCTGCAAGCCAGAAATCTGCGAAAGACACTGGAGCAAAAGGGGCTCTGAAAATCCGTCCCTAAAAGATAGAAAAAAGGATACCAAGTAGATTATTAAATATAAAGAACAAAACACCTGAAACTGTTTATATATATATATATATATATATATAAACCGAACGTTGATGAATCTACAAAGAGACCAATTGAGTATATGACTGGAACGTGTATAGGTAGCTAGATACTTCACTAGTCTGTCAGAAAAATAGTAACAAAGATGAAATACCTTAGACTAAATAAACGATATGCAGTGACATTCTGACGACCGTAAATAAAAATGGTACCAAAGAAACAGTATTCTTAAGGTAACGTTCATCAGGGGTTGACATGAGTTGGAGAGCCATTGAAAACCTGGCGGCACCGGGCAGCTGTTCCATCCTAATATGGGGCTCCTCGGTAGTATAAATACGCGATCCCGCCTGGTTATGGAGCGAACTAAGAAAATCTAGGTTTCACGGCGACCTTGTTAGCTATTCACCCACAGGCTTCTAGCTCAATTGTCCACAGTTTCCTATTTTTGTCGATTCGTGAAACAGTGCAACTGTCACATAAGATCTTCAGTTGGCATCCGGTTCATTTCTGATTGGTTGACCCTACAGGTCACGTCTTCTTATTAGAACTTCAGCTGATGTCTGTCTGTGGTGAATGCTACTCTAAAAATAAAATCCGCACTAACCTCAAAATAGATTACTGTATAATATACACTAGTGACATGCCAAAGTTTTGATGAGAAGCCGTGACCTTCGGAGTCAACCAGCCGGAGTTTAAGCGAATATCAACTGAAAATTTTAGTGGAGAGTCGCACTATATCGTAAATTGACAAAAGTGAGAAACTGTAGACCATTTTGTGTCGACCGATTGTCTGAATCCTTGAAGTGTTCACCGTGAAATCTGAAGGCCTTTAGTTTCATTACTACCCGGGAGGGGTTGCAGGTGAATACTGCTGAGGAGTGGCCAATGCTCCTAGATTTTAAGTGTTTCTGGAACTGATGTCAATCAGTGATGAATAAGACCTCAAAAACACATAAATCTCTGAGTTTTAAGTAGAAAATAAGCATAAGTCTCTTAGTCTGGGTTCATTGTAAAATAAGCTAGCGGTTTTCTCAACAGAATTTCATGACAGTATGTATTTACCACTTTTAATTGTCGATATATTGATGAGCTGTATTATCTAGATTAGACCATTAATTTTATTTTACTGTTACCTTTAGTTTGCAGAAACAATAGCACTGGTAGAATAGATTATATAATTGCTTGATCTTATCGATGAAACCTGGATTTTGACCTCATTTAGTCTTGACTTTGACATTATTAAGTGAATGAATCGTGATTCACTTCAAAAGATTCTTCATGTGACTTTTCTTTGACTAGAAATTTTCTGGGTGTTTCTTGAAAAAAATTCTTATAAATCCTCGATTGATGATAGTAAATTAAGGTTGATAACAAACAATATTTAGATCACTAAACAGAAGGTAAAAAGAACATAGATTTTGCAAATAACAGAATCGAAATATATTGACTAGGTGACTAAGTAATATTTTGATTCAGTGAAGATTGTAATTTCATATTTTCAACAGTTAATAAGAAGGAATTCATGACGAGGTAAACTCATCATCTGATTCTGTAGTTCTTACTTTGTTTAAGTTTATCGATGAGAACAAACACAAAACGATAAATGAATCTTTTTATGACAATTTTTTTAGTGAAATATTCTCCGAGATTGAAAAATGCAGTGACAAGCTCATTTATATCTATCTGAAACGGAATAACTCATGTTTATTCAGTTTCAGTCTGTTAACATAAGATTAAACACCTGTTCCAGCGGATTTAGCAAATATGCACCAGCTGAATGTTAATTTTTCAGTTTCGGAGGTTGGTGGGGATTAATTGAATCAGAAGTGGTATTCATCATGGACTGACGTCAGTAGGAGAATTATCACAAATTTGAGGGTACTAGACTTCTGTTTCATTCCAGTATGAGACTATTCAGCAGTGCCCATCCCTGACCCTGCCAGAAACTGAAATCAGGATCCGGTAACTTAACGGTAACGAGCTCGCTGCAAGGATTGAAGGTCCTAGAATACATTCCTGGAAGGGTCGTGAGTGCGCATTGATGAGGAGTCCCATACCAAACAGTTGTTCAGTGCTCTTAGGTTATCAGTTGATCTACAATTAGTGTCATGTCATAATGAATAGCGCCTTGAATGTTAGTTGGTTTTTCGAATTAATGGATTCATTTAGTCCTTCACACCAACCTATTGTTTTACGATTAATGTAGACTGCGAATGAATGGGTAAAGAAGATGGCATGAAGATCGCTAATGCACCAAGTTATTTCAAGTAAACATTGTTCAAAAGTGAAAAAAGAAAACACAGAAGACTGAAAAGGAGAGCGAAGGTAGCAAAATTTTGGCGTATATGCAGTCTTATAACCTCATTTTTCCTTGTGTAGAAGGTACATACATCCAAAACAAACTACCACTGAACAGCTTGAGCAGTTGGAAACCGCTCAAGTCGTTCAACAGTAGTATCCTTCGCTAGTTGACGATGCTTTTGTGTAAGAGATCATACTATGATCTTGGCTGAAGGCTGGTTTTCAACGGAAACCCTGTTGATACCAAACCAGTATGATCCTTGCATCGTCCTTGAATGGATGAATTCAATGGCGTCCATCCAGCAATAACCTTCACTATTGAAACAGAAAGTGACGGCAGCATCACCTTCTTAGATGTCCGATTGACAAGGAAGGTGGATGGAACTATAAAAAGAAGTGTGTATCGGAAACCAACGTCAACAGGTCAATACACCCACTTCTTGAGTTTCGTCCCCTTGCAACAAAAACGAAATCTTGTTAAATGTTTGGTCCATCGGGCGAGACTCATCTGTTCAGATGAGCGAAGAAATATTTCTTTTCAATTAGTTCCTCATCAATGACTCTACACTAATATAGCATTTTCAAACGTAAAATTACATACCAATCTAGTGGTGAGAGTTGTTCAGTGAAAGGTTATCAATCTCAAAGTTTCAAGAAGGTGATAATTGGTCAGGTAATTAAGACAGTTAACTAAAGCAAAGATTAATTATCGTAAAAAGATTTTGTGAACAGGTTCTTAAATGTTTGGTCCATCGGGCGAGACTCATCTGTTCAGATGATAGTTTTGACGAAGAGCTTCAAATTATCCACGATCTACTCAGTAGTAATGGATATCCAGAAACGTTCCTGGCTAAAAATATGAACACATCCAATATGAAAACCAGAATGCCTACAGTCTCCAAGAAACCATTGTTTCTAAGACTACAATTTCGAGGTGACATCATCAGCGAAATTGTGACACAACGCTTAAGAAATGCCATAAGAAGATCATTTAATGCCGCCAAGTTATGTTGTGTTTTCTACAGCCGGCCGATGATGACCACACGAACTAAAGACAGACTCCCTGACTTCTCCTCTTCTATGTGCATTTACCAGTTCAACTGCTCCTGTGGAGCTAGTTACATTGGACGTACAGTTAGGCAAGTCCGTCGTCGAATCGCCGAGCATCATCCTTCATGGCTAAGTAAGGGGGAAACCAGACTGACACGAAGCTCAATACTCTCTCATCTGATTGACACCGGCCACCGAGTTAACATTCATAATGCCTTTAAAGTTATTTATCACATTCCTTCTCACCTCACCCATCCTCTACGAGTCCGTCTTTTACATACAGCAGAAGCCATAGGAATCCACCTACACAAGCCAAGTCTGTGTGTTCAGAAGAGATTCGTACAGCCTCTTTCTTTGCCTTGGCCATCTGTATAGCTCATTTATTACAACAAGACTCTTCATTTCATCCACCACACAATTCACTATAACTAGTATTTCAATAGCTCCATTATTATTATTATTATTATTATTATTATTATTATTATTATTATTACAGACTTAATCATCTTTCTCTCCCCCTACTGTCTCTAATTACCGTCAACAATTTACCATTTTACGTAACAGTTCATTTTTGCTCTTTAGTTATCATTATATAAAATATCAATTATGTAAGAACCTGTTCGCAAAATCTTTCTACGATAATTAATCTTTGCTTTAGTTAACTGTCTTAATTACCTGACCAATTATCACCTTCTTGAAACTTTGAGATTGATAACCTTTCACTGAACAACTCTCACCACTAGATTGGTATGTAATTTTACGTTTGAAAATGCTATATTAGTGTAGAGCCATTGATGAGGAACTAATTGAAAAGAAATATTTCTTCGCTCACATTGTTTGTTTTAATAAATTTATTTATTGATTTGAGGATGATATTCATCACTGACTGACATCACTTAGGGAACTATTGAAAACCTGGAGCAGTGGACAGCTGTTTCATCCTAGTATGGGACACCACAGCAGTGCTCACTCATGACCCTACCGTCAAGGGACCGAAGTCATCGATTCCAAACTCCACATGCAGGACGTTACCATTGTTAGGTCAGGATATAATGGTCCTTACTTTCTTATTTCTGTCAAATGGCAGCATACCACGACCTTCATCCAGTAGTGTCATTGAGTGCCTGTCTTCAAGTCCAACTTGGTTCACCCCACTGGTCATGTTTTCTCATCGGAAAATCTCATCTCGAAACAATTCACTAATGAGCAATAGACATAAATTCAATTTGGAAGTTTGTGGGGATTTATTAACTGACTTCAAGTTGGAGAACAGTGAAATGAATAATTCTTCTGATTAGCATCGAGAAAAATAACATGGTAGATACAAATCCTTATCAGTTTACATTATCTCTATTGGATTTTTAATTAGTGAACTACTAGATGAACATAAAATAATTTTTCTACCCAATTACTACTAATCAATAAGGAGGACAACAATTTCAGATAATAGTTGAGTTTTTCAGTTGATTTATTTGCAATGATGATGTAAGAGTACGGGAATAAAATCATCAAACTTTTTAAACAAAACAATATCTTGTAAAATAGAATCTCTCTGTAGTAGGACAGAAAAAATCATAAAAAATACCAACAAACAGAA